AATTTTATCGATTATCTCCGTCTGGTAATTCTCGCCGAATAACACACTAGAACCGGGATGCTCATGTAATATATCCTTGAACAATCTGACCATTGCATTCAGCGGCTTATACTTCGTAACGATACATATTTCAACCTCTTCTGGTACGGACTTCCTTATGTCCAACCATTTCTCATAAGACATTCTTGAGCAACCAAACGCCCCAGGAGTAGCTTGGATCCGTGAAATGGATTGAGAGTGAATGCTCGAAGACCGAGGCGATGCTGAAGGATAAGGCAATTTTTAGGCAGAGAAAAGGTTTGATGAAAAAACCAAAATGGTTCAACGGCGCGCCTTCTTGAGGCCCAAATATAGACCCACTGCAAGACCGACCGTGCCTACGAGATCTCCAGAGATTTGTTCCTTCACTGTGTTCGTGACGTTCTCGACCGTATCAGGTTTAACAGCTTCTTTTATGGTGTTCCAATTGAGGTCCACAATCTTCTGTGACCTTAAATAGTGAAATCCGACAAGTGTAGAGCCAAGGAGGATGACGAAGGGTGCAGACACTTTTCGGATCACAACTCCTCCAAACCAACCTAGCGCCAAGAACGAAGCGACATGCTTTCCTGTTTCCCAATGTTTAGATAGCTGCTCTTCATCAAGCACATCAACATAGTTCTTTGGATGCAATTGGTTCAATTGCTCCTCAGACAATACCTTATTCAGCATATGTCTGTTACAAAATAAAGGGAGGTTTTTCCAGTCAAACAGCGGGGGTATTTGAGTTCTAAGAAACACGTGTGTGCTGGACAAGCAATGACTTACCCTTCAGCCATTAGGTGCAGGTGCAAGACCTAAAGCCCACCGGGCTTTTCTTAGAGACCTAGCCTCGCGATCTAGTGCTAACAGCTTGAGGGTTTTCCCCCATTCGCCGTCATCCGCTGCCGGACCTTCACCAGTATCATCCGCCGCTTTTAAACGCTCCACCAAGTCCTCCACTGCCGAGTCGACGTTGGCTATATTAGAACCAGCCCCACCGCTAGGCTCCATGGCCCAGCCGACGAGATATACGGGACAGGCGTAACCACCAGACTCATAGTCCTTTCTGAAATCTTCATTCACGGATGCGAAACCAGTGCACGGGATAATTAAACCAATGTTGTCCAGCTCACGAACGGCACCGTTATTACCATGGATTAACCGGACAACACCAGGGGCCATTTCCTCTATCAATGTAACATTTTCAAGCACTTCTACCTCTCGCCGTTTCTCACCGTTCACAGACGAGTCTGTTTGTATAACTGAGCTATTATCTAAGTTCTCAATTTCCGTTTTCAATGGCCCTCTAGTACAATATTCCTCAAAGATTTGTTCAATACGAGGAGACTTGGACGTGCTACCGTGCGGCAGAACCAAAAGGTTAGCTAGCTTTGTAACATTTCTCCGGAAGGTCCCGGCACTCCACTTGGCATTGAATACTGATCCACGTCCAACCACATAAGTTCGAGATATATTTAAACCAGAAAGGGTAGCAAGTTGGTTAAGACTCATATTATCTGCAGCTACACAGAACTCTTCGGCCATTAGTAATCCCATAATATCCAGAGCCACATTCCCAAAACCCATAATCAGAACATTTCTTCCCTTTAGATTTTTCAGTACCTTGTCAACATCTATATCCCGCTTTCGGAAGTAACTTGGATAACCATCATCATTACGACCATCATTATTCCGACCATCATCATTACGACCATCATGATTGTTTGGACTGTCCTCTTCTTCCGAATAAAAGTACGTTGACGTCATATTCTCGGGAGCGTTGCCAGCAAGGACTGTATGCGAATCGGGATCCTCGCCAGCGTGACCCAGCCCAAGGCGGGGTGTCCTTTTCCATGCCTCGCACTTCGCTTTACTGGTACTCAGATTAATGGTGCTCTCGTCAATGTCTTCATCAATGTCTTCATCAATGTCTTCGTCAATGTCTTCGTCAATGTCTTCGTTAATGTCTTCGTTGATGTCTTCGTTAACGTCTCCGTCAATGGTGCCTTCGTTAATGTCTCCGTCAATGGTGCCTTCGGCCGTCAGGTTCACATTGCTACTCTCATTCAGACGATCTGGTTTAGGTAGCCTATTCAGGTATTGGAGGAAGTACTGGCAAGGCAAAACCGGAATAGAGGTTACATTCAGACCGTGGGGTCTTTTCGGCTTACAATCGCCCCCCCAGGCGACAATTATGCCGTCGTATACTCTACTGAGCTCTCGTAACTTGGCAGGTGAAATCTCCATACCGGGACGGAAAACAAATCGGTTACCAAAACTTGCTGCACAGTCATTGACTTCATCACGTAAGCCGTCTATCAGAGAGTCCCCCAGACCTCGTATCTTGAAACTAAACGGCGAAACCGAGCTCCGTATCAAACCCCCAGGCAGAGACTCCTTTTCCAACAACGTGACGTGGACACCGCTCTTCAAAAGTGTCCGAGAAGCCGCAAGACCGCATGGGCCTGCCCCTACCACAGCTATATTCCGCGGCCGCTTCAACATGGAATTTATGTAAAATATGAAAATGGCCAAGTGGAGTATCAATCTCAGCTCGGAGTATCAATCTTATTTCGGAGAAAAAGAGCGCGAAATTAGTTGCACTGTGACGATATGGACCAGCAGCATCGACATCTACCGCCAACCGCAGCCGATCTACGGCCAACCGCAGCCGGGTCTCACACATTTTTTTTTGCACGCCCATGCAACAAGTCTACTGACCGAGCGCTCAGCCAATAAACTAAAGCGGGCACCAAATGCGGACAGCAGGTAGGGCAGACAATAGACAGGCACGGATGGAAGAAGAAAACGACGTGCGAAGGGGCGGGTGTTTATCCTCCGTGGCTTCTTTTCTAATGGTCTACTGCCCTAGCTCAATTACAACTCGGGTCTGGGATTTACAAAGTGGGTCGTCTTGAGTGAGGTCATGATGAATTGTCTTGAGAGGCAGCCAATAGCTGCAGAATGGACATGAAAAGATTAATGATATCCAGATATATGTTCAGGGCCGCTCCGATGTAATCATCAGGCGATAATTGCACCTCACCATTGCCTACTAGCAATTGGGTGTCGACGAGAATATAACCTGAGAATATTATTGCACCACCGCCGCTCATCAATAAGTCTCCTCCGGGTAAAGACGGCCATATCATTCTAACTAAACCAACGCCAAGTAGAACACATAATCCGATAGTTAAGAATCCATTCATGAATGTCAAATCGTACTTGGTTTGCATGCTAAAGAGGAATAAGTAACAACCCCCAATCGTTCCCTCCCAATCGTTC